GCTCTTGTCTCCCAAATGGTACACTCCAAACAAAGCCGTGAGCGCGTGAGCGACTGAATTGAAGTCGAACCGCTGACCGCTGGACGGAAGGGGAGAGGGCTCGGTTCAGCACCGCTCTCCTGGGGGATGCCGTTAAACCTCGACATGGTTCAGAGCAGAAGGAAAGACGTTTGGGTTCGTGTGTACACACGCTAGCGCGTCTGTTTGGTTCTACACGGTGGCTGTGAGAGATACTGTAGGTGTGTGGATAAGGAGACAGTCACCTGTAGTGGCCGTTAAACTCGGCGGAGGGGACTGCGAAAGGAAAGACGGGATTACAGGAGTCTGAGACTGATGCTGGGGTTTAAACTCGAATAGACGTCTTACAACTCCTGAATGAGCTGAGGAGGAGGTGGTGGAGGTGGTGGTGGAGGAGGAGGAGGAGTAGGTGGTGGTAAGTTGTTATTGTTTTTGTTTATAAACATCAGAGCTTTAATACAGATGATTGAGAAGCTTTGCTGCACTTTAGTGCTTTCCTCTGAGCTTCTTAAACACTGCACTGCTGACTTGTGACCTGGGATGGGTTTCTGACATGAGATCTGCTTAACATCAGGCATTATTGAGAAATTAAAAAGACAATAACCAAGGGTCTTTATGGTAAAGACTGATTCTGATTGCATGTATCCCACATGCATGGTTACACATGAATTCTGTTGACATTCGAAGCTGGTAAAAATGACCCAGGAGCACCTGAAGGCGTTGTTACTATTGTTCTCACAGCAGTGATATGTCTCCTTTTGTTTCATCGCTCCATATGCTCTTGTGTTTGGCTCTTCTGCATCCAGGCAATCCAGTCTGATGTACGGCATAACAGACTACAATCACGTTGTCTGTTTCTTTCATTGATTTTATTAGATCATGGCTACAAAATAAGTCATTTTAATGCTGCTTTGTTTGAACTGGGATTGAACTTGGGTTGGAATAACAGCCTGTGAGGAAGTCACGTGTTCAGGCGGACAGAAAATCTGACACAATATCATAGATCTTTTCCCACACTAATAATGTTTTATTCTAATTGACTGACTCCATGGCCAAAGGGTTCAAGATGCCACCATATATGATGTGATTCTGGACTCTACTGACTGTCAGTTTCAGAATAATGAGCTTTCTAGGGACTGAGGATACATTCTTCCAGAAAATATTATATTTTGTATGCTTAGGTCAAGCTCAGAAAGACGCTTTGAGACATAAAGCTTCCAAACTCTTCCTTGTTGCTGGGGTGGTACCATCAAGTGTATTATATCTGTACTATGGATCTTCTACCTGGGGAAAATGTATGTGGTCTGCCTTTAATTAGCTTTGAGATGAAGTTTTGAAGATACATCAGCGGTCCTTAAGGTCCACTTATGTACCTAATATTATTTTAAAGGTATAATACATAGTGTTTCCAGGTTAAAAGATACTGTTGATGGTACCATGCCATATAAGCATGTGGCATCTAACACTTCAGCTTTTACTGGCATGCTGAGATGTCACTGTACCTTGCCTGTCTGAGGTTTTTGAAAGATTTTAGATTTCCTTGGACTTAAGTAATGAGGCTTTGGGAGCCCTAAGCATTGCCATCATTGCTTGTTATGTAGCGACACCTCTGAGAAGTAGAGAAGTGGGCTCCTCTACAAAGGATGAGTTGGCTTTACCAGCTCACTAAAAAGGTTTTTAAAACATTAGGGATGGCCTTTCATCTCTTAACACATCGCTTTGACATGAACCTGATGATTATTCAATTATTCAAGTTGATTGCTCATATGCCAGATCCCCCCTGCGCTCCCTTTTTGCATCTCCTTGCTTTGATGAATGGATGCAGCATTTAGTGAGAGATTTAGTTTGGTCAGAAGTGACAAAGACATTCAAAAAGTGTATGTTGCAATACAACAGTGAATCAACATGAATCAACATTAAAAAAAAAATTTCTGAATGTTATATAAATTTGGAATGTGAAGCATTGAAGGACTTCTTTAGGTCAGAGAGGGTTCAATTTTTGTAGTTATTTTTCTTCAGTTCTTTTGGTGGTGTCCTGTGCTTGAGTCTTCTGTTTCTGAAAGACGATTTTAACTGTTAGCGAAGACTTTGATGTCTATTTTTTTTTAGATATCTAGCTTTCTGAAAGGTCAGTATTTTCACTTTTAGGTCTTTTGATGGCAGTGTTTCTGATCTTATTCACTTCTGACTGCTCACAGCAAGCTGCATGAGCCACCTTGAACTTTTCATGCCTTAAAGGTGTTAAGACATGATGCCGAATTTAAGTCATTAGACACCTTATGCATATTTCAGCTAAATTAACTACAGCATGTTCATGGTTAGACGTTTGAGCTTGCTACTAATGATAACTGCTGAGTAAAAAATTTAAACGAACATGGAATTTTGTTTTTTAGATAAACTTGAAGGTACTTAAAAAAAAAATTTGCCCAGAAAGAAATGGATGAAGGCGGTGCAAATTTTTGCACTCAGCTGTAGAATTTTCCAAAAGGTTCTCATCAGTATTAGCCTAATTAAAAACCCAGTCTCAGTAATTAACATTAGGATGCTTCTGACATCCCATTCTCACCCAAATTTCAGAAAACTGAGTCAGTGCTGTGACGGGCGGAGTGCTGTTTTAATCACTCATTTTTCAATTCACACCTCCGTGCTAACTGCTAATTAGCATGAAGTGGGTAAATAGGGAGAAAAAACACATCAGAGGGTGTTGATCCTGTCATCAGGAGCCTATCAGGTGCTCATAGAAACAACATGCGATGGATTTATAAGTAATGTAAATGCCACATATGTCTCACGTGCCTGTTTTCTGTCAGCAGATAATCCAACAGTTACCATGGCATTAGCTCTAATCTGGTAGCTTGTAATGGAGCCTGTGGGGAAAAAGTTCCGAGGTGCTGTCTGATTTCCACAATCGTGTCATGTTGGGGAAGCATGAGACCCAGTCATCAATAATTAAATAGAATCTACTTTGTCTGCAATTATTTCATGGCAAAAAAAAAAAATAATTAAATTACATCAGAGACGTAACTGTGCTTAAAAGATTTAAAAGCTTTTGGGCTGCGCATATTTATTGACCAGCAAATGGCCTGAGGGAACTTGGGCGGGATAATGATATAGCGGCCCAACATCATCTCTGTGATGTAATTATAAATGCCTTTCTGCTGGTCTTTGAACCAAGCTCGGGAAATTATGGAAAGAGTGGAAACTTGGTGACTTTGAGTCTTGAAATTAATACTGGGGTATTTCTCCATATCATTTTGGAAAATATGCATAATAATGTTTTGCAGGAAATAATAACGGCGATACATTATTATCTGTGAAGGGAGATGTGCTCAAAATAATGAATTAGTTGCTCAGTTATACATTATAGTTCTTATAGTTTTTGCACAGTTCTATAAAATAAACATAGTGTATTAGTAAGGTGCTGGGCCCACCAAGAATTGCCAGAACAGCTTCAGTGTACATCAACATGGATTCTCCAAGTCTCTGGAACTGTACTGGAGGGATGAATGTTGTGTTTCCAAAATGCATTCCCTCAAGTGGTGTTTTGATGATAGTGCTGGAAAGCGCTGTCTAACAGATTGGTCCAAAATCTCCCATAAGTGTTCAGTTGGGTTGATATCTAGTGAAGGCCAAAGCATATGCTCTCTCTCTCTCTCATATATATGTATAAAAGTGGAGTGTAGCCAAGTATGGTCACCCATACTCAGAATTTGCGCTCCGCATTTAACCCATCCAAGTGCACACACTGTGAACACACACCCAGAGCAGTGGGCAGCCTTTTTTGCTGCAGTTGGGGGTTTGGTGCCTTGCTCAAGGGTCTCACCTCAGTTGTGGTATTGAGGGTGGAAGAGAGCACTGGTCATTCACTCCCCCCACCTACAATCCCTGAGACTCGATCCCATGACCTTAGGGTTACAAGGCCGACTCGCTAACCATTAGGCCATGATTGCCCTGAAAATCAATTTAAGTTCTATCTATCTATCTATCTATCTATCTATCTATCTACAGACTGAAACTGACATAACCAACATACGTTTCATGTTCTTTTGAGCAAAAGAAAGCATTCTCTGCTATCTGCATCACCGTAAAATTTTGACTTTTTTTTTTTTTTTTTACCTTTTTGAAGTATTGTGATAATTTCAATATATTGTACAGCCCAAATATACAGTGTGTGTACGTATGTATGTGTGTGTGTGTGTATATATGTGTGTGTGTGTGTGTATATATATACACATATATACACACACACACACACACATGTGTTTTGCTCAGCGATTGGGTGTTCTACCAAAACTCATTGAGTGTTTCATTAACACAGCATGCTTATAAAATAGGTACTCTGTGATGAGATAACGAGATGCAGATGTGTGGACAACCGTGCTGGCACAGTGACTGATGTTAACTGAGGGAAATGAGGAGAGAGGGGCTGAATGAAATGTCTGGTTTAATGAAAGCAGTTATGTAATATGTGGAGAGGAAGACAGCATCTAGGGTCCTTAGAGGGACACATCACATTATGTTACATTACAGCACACCTACCATTTTTGGATTTCATTTGAGAAGAGATTAAACAAAGACGGACGGAGAGAGAGAGAGAGAGAGTGCAAATAAAGGAGAAAATGAGAGCCCGAGATAAGATCTAAAAGAGACAGAGGAGTAGCAAAGGAGTGAAAAGAAGGTGAAGCCGAGGGGAATGTAAGTGAGAGAAGACGTCAATGTTAATCCCGTTATCCCTTTTAGTGCACTCCTTCTCACCGTCTGCAGTTCCTCTGCGCGGATACTCGTCCAGGAAGCAGCAGGAGGAGCAGTGACTGTGATTTAAAGACATCACGCTTATTTTTCTTATTATCAACTGCTGTATTGCTCCATATTACTGTACAGTATTTCACTACCACTGTTGTTTGTTATGTGTGTAGTTATTTAGGCAACACTCAGAGTCTTTGTCCTCAGTTTGTATTATTCATGCTGAACATAACCACAGAATGAAGCCTCAGTCCGTCTAAAGCCTGACTCTTGCCTCTATGTACTGTGATGATACCTCTGGACTGATGCACTGATCCAAACTATTAATATATTGATATTCAGCTGCATTTCAACTTGAATTGCAAGAAATGGCATAAGTAAGGAGTAAAACATGACAGTGTGTGCTATTGTAGACAGTACGATCACTGATGGGGTGTTGTGTTGTTATTTATTGTTTTCCTTTGACAACATGTCCCGAAGTGTTTTAGGCTACTCCTCACATACAATAGCAATTTGCCAACACTAATAACTAACAATTTATTTATTAAAGAATGACCCTTAATACTCTTTATCCATTTATAGTTATGTTTAATGAAACAAGTTAGTTCCTTTGATCACTTATGTTACAGCAGCACCAGTCTCTCTCTCTTTTTTTTTTCTTTCTTTCTTACAGTATCTGATCTGTGCTGTTGTAGTAAATAAATCAACCTTCTGATCAATCGGATTCAAGAATTCAACACTGTGGTTTAAGAGTGAATTATTACACTTCAGTCAATCCCTTTACCTGTGCTTTTATGAGAGTCTAGTAGACTGTGTGTGTTACCATGTTTGAATGGCCATGTTTTTATTCTTGGTTGCTTTCATGCTGAAATATAAAGCACCCGGAGGCCTCCAATTTATTTATTTTTTTGACCCTTTAAAAGGCTGAAATGTGCAGTTTGGAGATTGCTGTTATATCAGTCAAAGCAAAAATATTTATTACATTGTGGTAGGAGACCTAACTTATTTTAGCCCTCGGCCTCTCTTGCCATACCATTTGAAATTTCAGTGGACCATTTAATCTTTTCTTTTTCTGTTTGTGTTTCTTCTCCCATTCATGCTGCATTGCCTGGATGCTGCTATTTGACCAACTGGAATTTAGGTTTTATTTACAGAGCTGGCTGAAAAGAATAACGAAGCTTAGACAAACGTTAAGGTTATCTCCATACATATGTACTGAGCTGGGCCCCCTTCTATTTGCCTTTACTCTCCTTTGCTGTTCTGTCCATCTTTCCTTTCTTCTTGGTCCAGGTTGCATGACTTCCTCTCTCCCCTCCAGCTTTCCCTGCACTATTCTCTTCTGCTCCACTGGATCTAAGAGACTCTCCATATACCAAGGCCAAGAATAGCTCAATAGAGGCTCTGTATCAGGCTCAAGCCTGGGGAAACCACTAAACCATTTAATTTGGACACAAAGTTTGTGTCAAGGGTCATTCTGTCCTTTGTGTGGACATGTTAAGAAAAATGTTGCACAGGCCTACAGCTCAACCACAACTGCATTATTTTCCAACCTTGTCTACTTAAATTTACATGACGACTCCTGGCTCATTGCTTGCAAATCTGTCCACATCTCAAATCCATTTATGTGTAATCTGCTGGATTGTAATGAAGCAATGAAATAATAATGATCAGCATCAACAGTGATGAAGTCTGTTGATAAAAAGAACAATACATCATTGCTCATTAGTGTCTCCCTAGATAATGGTTGTTCTTTTTAATTTTTGTTTTGTTACAAAGGCTTCAAGACTTAAATAGAGTAATGTTCTTTTCCAATTCCCCTTCAGCTGTCTGCTGGGAGCTCAGTGAGGGGGTCAAACGCAGGCCTCTCAGTCGGATTCGGTGCCAAGAGCGTCATCAAACGCTCACTGTTTTCTCTCCACCAGATGCACTGCACAGAGCTCAGCGTGAGCTTCTGAATTCTGTAGTAAAGCTTGGACTCGAAAATAATACAGGGATACAGAATAATTATGTGCACCGAACAAGTATTCACCAGCCTGATCATGATTAGAGTGCTAATGGTGATTGCTCCTATCAACCATCAGATGGCTGATGAAACACAAACACATACAGCATCTGGTGCAGCATACACAGACATCCATTAAGGATCCAGGAAGACGTACAGATATCTACAGGTCCATAGTAAGCTCAGTCCTTCTTAGTAAGAAGTATTTTCCATCACTAATGACTCCTGATTGTCATATATACATAATAGTAGTAATGCATTGTAGTGGTAATAGTTTTTTAGCTTTTATAGAAAATAGTGAAAAGTGAAAATTAATATTGCTTTTTCACGTAAAATCACGACCTATTGTTAAACAGCTTATGTAGTCTGTAAAAATTGCCATTGGTGATGTGTGTTTAGAGAGATGTTGCAAAATGTGTAAAACAGTTGATGGTTAGTGAGCAACCTTTCCTTCTCTTCAATCACATGTTTATTAAATGCATTTTTACGTAATTTTCACCAATTTATCCCAATTTAGTGATTACCATTTCCCATGTCATGACATTTTTTGCAGCTGAACACAGTTAAAAGAGAGCTAAATGTCCTTTTCCCTATACATGAGTTCACAGATGGCCGCAATTGATTCGCTCTGATGTCTTTTTCTTCCCCCAGAGAGCAGAGCCATTTAGACTCTCTTGAACTTCCAGCCAGGAATGTGTATTGTATTGTTAGGGTTTGAACGTGTGATGTCACGATAAAATGGTGCGTGCATTTGGTGTTACACCGCCAAGGAACTTAAACGTTCTGTGCTCATGCAGAGACCTATTATCACCCTGCTGCACTGTTGTTTGCTTTCTCTTGGTAAGCTCTACTTAACTATTTTATCTACTGTAAAACACATATGTTCTATGTAATATATATTTAACGTATATTTATGTAACATATATATTTATTTTTCATGAAATACTTCTACACCTTGGAGTGGAGTGAAAGTCTATATGAAACTTACACCGATCAGCCATAACATTTAAACCACCTGCCTAATATTGTGTAGGCCCCCCTTGTACAACCAAAACTGCTCGGACTCATCGAGGCATGGACTCCACAAGACCTCTGAAGGTGTGCTGTGGTATCTGGCATTAGCAGCCTGTAAGTCCTGTAAGCTGAGAGGTGGGACCTTCATGGTTCGGACTTGTTTGTCCAGCACATCCCACAGATGCTCAATCAGATTGAGATCTGGGGAATTTGGAGGCCAAGTCCACACCGTAAACTCTTTATCATGTTCCTCAAACCATTCCTGAATGATTTTTGCAGTGTGACATTATCCTGCTGAAAGAGGCCACTGCCATTAGGGAATACCGTTGCCATGAAGGGCTGTACTTGGTCTGCAATAATATTTAGGAAGGTGGTACTTGTCAAAGTAACATCCAGATGAATGCCAGGACGCAAGGTCTCATTGCCCAGAGCATCACACTGCCTCTGCGGGCTTGCCTTCTTCCCATGGTGCATCCTGGTGCCATCTCTTCCCCAGGTAAGTGACGCACACACACTCAGCTGTCCACATAATGTAAAAGAAAATGTGATTCATCAGACCAGGCCACTTTCTTCCATTGCTCCATGGTCCAGTTCTGATGCTCACATGCCCGTTGTAGGTGCTTTCGGCAGTGAACAGGAGTCAGCATGGGCACTCTGACAGGCCTGTGGCTACGCAGCCCCATACGCAGCAAACTGTGATGCACTGTGTGTTCTGACACCTTTCTATCATAGCCAGCATTAAAGTTTTCAATAATTTGTGCTACAGTAGCTCTTCTGACAGGCTAGCTTCCGTGGGTAGAGCCTTGGGCGCCCGTGACCCTGTCGCCAGTTCGCCGGGTGTCCTCCCTCGGACCACTTTTGTTAGGTACCAACCACTGCATACCAGGAACACCCTACAAGACGAGATTTAGAGATGCTCTGACCCAGTCATCTAGCCATCACAATTTGGCCCTTGTCAAAGTTGCTCAGATCCCTACGCTTGCCCGTTTTTTCCTGTTTTCAACACATCAACTTTGAGAATTGACTGTTCACTTGCTGCCTAATATATCCCACCCCTTTGACAGGTGCCACTTTAATGAGATGATCAGTGTTCTTCACTTCACCCGTCAGTGGCTTTAATGTTATGGCTGATCAGTGTACATACTGTACTGAAACGTGTATGTGCTGTGCAGTTCTGAATTTCCCAGAAGC